CGAACTGGTCGACTAGTGCATGACCGGGCCAGAAGGCCATGAGGTCGAGCAGTTATGGTCGGCGTATGCATGGTAAAAATAAAAATAAAAATTAAAATTAAAGGCAAGAAGACGAATGACACAAGTTTGCCAAAAATTGATTTCGTTAAGTCAAAAAGTGCCCGGTACAACTGGGACCGGGCTCCCGATCTAGTCCGTAAATAAAAATAAGAAATAGCCTATAGACGGTCGGAGTCTACACGACCGGACTATTTCTTTGCAGCAGCATCGCTGGGCTCAGCCACATCTTCCTTAGGATCGAACGGCGACGGGCCGGGATCAGCGACCTCATCCGGGAGAGTCGACAAGACCAACTCAAGATCTTCACCCTCCAGGGCTTCCTTCAGAAAGGTCTCGGTCTTCTCACGCATCTTGCGTTGGCCGCACTTGAAACCCCATCGGCCAAACGACCAGATCAATTTCTCCCCGACCAGTGTGTTCCGGACCTCTCGAAGGAACTTCGTCCCGGAGGCATCATCCTGGAAGAGGAACTTTGCCAGGTCTCCAAGATTGGCCAACCGGTCCTTCACCGTGATCAATAAAGATATTTACTTGCTTTAATTGGTCTCGAGTGTGTTTAATTATTGCTTACGTAGTAATTAACAGTATCAAGTACACTTAATAATTTCATATTTCGGCATTTCTTAAACGAAGGGGTAACCGACATGATGAATTTTGGCATTAAAACAATAGTTGTGGATGGAAATTGGTACTAAAACAATAATCGTGGAAGAAAATTGGTAGGAATTAAACATGTGGATCAAAACTGTCATTTTGCTAGTACTCGTGGGACCAAATTTGGTTTTTGCTCAAAGAGAAACGGTAGCGATCTAAATAGAATGTGGAAAATTGTAATTTTGATCCTCTGGTTATACCCGTAGTATATACTTAATCCTTGAATTATATGTGTGATCATCTTTGACCCATAAGTTATGTATTAAGTGACAATTTTAGTCCTTGAAGAACCAAATCAACCACTTTATGAGTTAATACCCAAAATGGTCATCGACTATAGTAATTTTTCTCAATTTCGTCTTAAACGACTTGGTGATCTAATGTAGTCTCGAACTTTTGTGTTATTGCTTAATTTAGTCTTCCGTTTGTTATTCCGTCAAATTGGTGTTAAATAAATGGACAATTCAGTAATCTCAATATTGGCATCTCTTTACTCTCAGCCTTGCGACGTGCAAAACCCCTCTTTCTTTTACGAATTACTCCCAGACCTGCGAATCAAATTTTATATTCGTAGGTTTGGGAGTAATCTGTAAAAGAAAGAGTGATTTTTGACTTCGCAGATCTAGGAGCAAAGAGACGCCAATATTGAAATTATTGAATTGTCCCTCTATTTAACACCAAATGGACAGAATAATAAATGAAAAACTAAATTGAGCAAAAACACAAAAGTCTGCGACTAATTCTATTGTTTGGTTAAATTTGGAATTGTAAGGAATAACAAGTTTAAAGACCTATATGCCCCTACAAATTAATAAGAGTAAGGAAAAATGGTCAAATAGACCCTCTAGCTTTACACAAAAATGCAATTAGCCCCCTAAACTTTTAAAAAGTGCAATTAAACACTTCAACTATATAAATTAGATCAAATAAGTCCAATTTACCACCGGTATTTAAATCACCTACTACCGTGAAATATTATTGAACGAAAAAAAAAAAAAAAAAAAAAAGAAATCGACGACCCACGACCCACGCTTGGTCGCCGGTTGCCACAATTTCTTTGTTTATTTCCTTCAGTCCTTGATTAAGGCGAAATTAGCAAATCCATTTATATGCGTTGTGTGAGGGTGAATATATATACACGTGGAGTTAACAAAGTGCATATCTTCAGTTCGACATGTCAATCATGGAGGAGCCACTACTATCAGGTAGCCTACACTGCCCATTCAAAATGGTAAATTTATTTGAATTTGCGTTTTTATTTAGTAGAATTCATTCTCTGATCTTGTGTTGTCTTGAATTGGAAAAGCGGAATGCCAACAACTAGCGCCGCTTTTGTTTAGCCTCAGGCGTTCATCGCTTGCCGCCGTCGCTCACACCAGGGAGCCGCTTTCCGCCAGATCGCCGCGCTAGTGACCCAGTATGCTGTCACCGTCCGCCGTTCACTGCTTTCAGCCAGTCAGCCGTTGCCGCCGTTGATCACACCCCGGTCTTCGCAGCCATCGGTATTTCAGATTTCAACATCAAGTAATTTTTTTAAAAAATCCTTATTTTATTTACTTAATTAGGTTTATTTGTTTAGGGTGAGATTGTGAGAATTCCGTGGGTGATTGGACGATCGAATTAGGTATATTTTCTTCTGCTCGGATGACGCCGGCGGTCAGCAACAGTTGCCGGAGTTTTAAAAAATTTGAATGACCTGCTATTGCAGGTCATTTATCAATTTTAGGGCTTAAATGCACTAAAATAGATAGTTGGAGTGTTTAATTACATTTTTTAAATGTTTGAGGAGCTAATTGCACTTTTGTATAAAGTTGGAGGGCTTATTTGATCAGGATAAAATAATCAAACCATATCACTTTTTTTTTCCATCTTTCATGGAAAACAAAATCTTTGATCCAACTAAGGATTTTGTTTTCCTCAAATTTGATGAATTCATTTTCCAATGAAAAATGAATTCCATGAACCAAACACCAAAAAACAACATTTTCCTCCGCGTTAAGGAAAATATTTTCCTTTGGAAAACATTTTTTATGAACCAAACATTCCCTTAAATTGGAGGAAAATATTTGGTTCATAAAAAATGTTTTCCAAAGGAAAATATTTTCCTTAAAGTGGAGGAAAATGTTGTTTTTTTGGTGTTTGGTTCATGGAATTCATTTTCTAATGGAAAATGAATTACTCAAATTTGAGGAAAACAAAATTCATGGTTAGAGCAAGGATTTTTGTTTTCCATGGAAGATGAGAAGAAAAAGTGATATAGATTGTCTATTTTACTCTTGTTTTCTGTTTTAATTATATTACTCTTATTAATTTGTAGGGGTATATATGTTTTTATACTCCTTATTCCTTACAATTTCAGATCTAACCAAACAATAAAATTAGTATTTCGAGTAATTCTTTTTTCACCGACCAAACAATGAAATTTATCTTCTTAGTAATTATTTTTCTATGGAATTTCAATTCCACTTTCCTTAAAATATTTTCGGCGAACCAAACACACTAGTGTTAATTAAAGATGGTGACGCATATAATTTAGGAACTAAAGGTGTGTTTGGTTCACACACAGGAATCGGAATCGAAATGGGTATCAAATACTTGGTAATGGTAATGGGTTTTGGTGAAAGTATTTAACATGTTTGGTAGTAGGGTGGAATGGAAATAGTTACTAATAGTAGTGCTTGAAAATAAATAAGGGAATGAAACCCTTATTGTATTTGGGTATGAGTTTTTCAATTGATGGGATATTCAAAATCCATAGTAGTGTTCTAAAAATCTATCAACCAAACAACAACAATCACTTTCATATTCATTCCTATGGGCAAAATCCACTAACCAAACACACCCTAAGTTTGTACTAAGAGCATCCACATTGGTTGGGAAGAATGGGGAGATAATGTAAGAGTGATTAGGAAAGAGAGTGTGGGAGAGGAGAGAAAAAAAAAAAAAAAGAAAAAACAAAACAAAAAAAAAATTAAAAAAAAAAGAAAGTAGTCAGACGCGTCAGGCGCGCCGACTGGCGCGCCTGACGCGCCTCCGGGCGCGTGCAGTGCACGCGCCCGGCTTTTGCCCAAGGCTGTGCGCGAACGCGCACAGCCTTGCTTCTTCTTCTTTCTCTTTTTTTTTTTTTTTTTTTTTTTCTGACAATCTCCCTACATTTGCAGGGAGATTATTTTTCAATTATCTCATGTCCACACTAGCTATTATCTCATGAAGGGAAGATTTAATTCTGAATTCTCCCCACAATATCCACAAGTGTGGATGGCCTAAGATGATTAATTGTAGCGAGCAGCACTTGTCGTCTAACAGTAACTATTGTCTCAATCTGCTCATTCTGCTGTCCCTATCTAACAGCAAAGCACAAGCTTAAAGCTTTAATTACTTACCATGCTCAATTAAATACCAGTATAGATGGATCAACTTTATTGGAGAATTTCTCGACAAAAAAAGCGTAACATATTTTACATTAGTTTTTTTTTTTTTTTTTTTGGTGAAAATTTTAAATTAGTTCTCTACTTTCCTTCAACTACTTCTAACTACTTAAACAATTTTTAACTTCTAAAAGTGAATCTTGAAAAGCAGTGAGACTAAAACAATAGCAAATTTTTCAAATAGTGATGAAAGTGGTCCACCGGTTTTAATGACTGTTATAGCTTGGTCAAATGCACCTTATAAGTTAACTAAAAGTTACACTTTACCTTTTTAGAGATTATAATCAAAAATAAAAATTACAATATTCGTAAAGTAATTGTAGTATTTGTCTCAACTTGTTAGTGATAAGTTATAATTGATGTTACAAATTTTATCTTTTTTCTAACAAAACATTAAAGACTTTCCACATCAATTATACTTTAAGGACATTAAGTATGCAAGACCAATTAAAATAAGAATGAAATTTACAATGTTAGTTATATCTAAAGAACAAGAAGTGAGAAATCCACGAGTAGAAACAAATCCTACAATTAACTTATAATAACTCGAGAACAAAATGTGCATCTTTCCGAAAAATATACTTTTTCAATTGATACCAATAATAACTGCTTTAGAATTTATTTATTTTTTTTAGTGTTACTGTCTCTAATACATTGTACTATCTATTCAAATATAGTTTCAACCTAATGAACCCTAAATAGTCAACAATACCTCTATTAAAGCTCGATTTTATGACCCCTCATATGGGAGAAATCACTACACGTCAACTGAGCGCAAGGTACTTGGTAGAATTTTCCTAATTTTATTATGAAATTTTTCCAAGAAAATAAGCTAAGAAATTAAACTAGAACCATGACAATCACAAATCTCAACCGTAGATATTATCATACGAAGTATACAGATTATTCTGCTACATTAACAAAATTGATTAAGCCCCTAATAACAAATTAACAAATTGTACCCAAGAAAAAAAAGAAAAGAAAGAGAAATCCCTAGAAGCAAAGGAGAACAACAGAGGAAGAGATCATGAAAGCATAGATGAAGATCAAGAATCCAAAATGCAAAGCCCAATTCCTCTTGAACTTACCAAAGTAACTCTCCGGCGGTTCTTGATAATGTATCTCAAACTCCTCGGCCACCTCGTCCTCGCCGCCGCCGCTGCTCATCCGCATCTTCAGCCGCCGCAGGCGCTCGGTGGCGAGGCCCAGCGTCAGCTTGTGGCAGCGCCGCTGGTACTTGAACCCATTGATGCACCTGAGGGTCTGGGCAACTGACACGTAGAAGATGAGGTGGGCCATGGAGAGGAGCCCGATGGGGACCCAGCAATGGCGGCACTGCAGCCTCGAAGACTGGGCTTGCCCCAGGAAAACCAGGGACAGGAAGAGGAAGAAGAGCTGGAACATCTTCCAGAGCTCCTTCTTCTGGAGGTCAACTGCGCGTTTCTTCTCGAGGGTCTTCTCGAAATGGAGCTGGATGATGGTGTTGAGGGCCTGCAGGGCGGCCTCGTGGTGGATCAGACTGGCCGGGTGGGCGGCGGTGGCTGCCTCGTAGTCCGCCATTGGAGAGAGGATGTGAGGATGGATGGAGGGGTTTGGGATTGGGTTTCTCTTGACGAGACTGTTGTTGACTGGTTAGACCCACACCCATCGGATCCCATTGCTCCTTTGGGTCCACTCCATATAATATTTCATAATTGATTCATTTACTAACGGTAGCCAGGGAGATTTTACCAGTCAAATGATACTTCTTTTTACCCAACATTCAAACGGGTTTTCCAATTAGGTCAGCCTCGAAACTCCAAAAATAACTATTGAAAGTTTTTTTTTTTTTTTGGAACCAAGACAATAAATATGAGAAAAAAGAGAAATAATTTAAATGTAATTATTATAAAATTAAATTCAACAATTCATGTTTAGTTTAATTTTCATAATGATTATTACCGCAATAATTTTATCAGTGTGATGGAATAAAAGTTTTATTATATATTTAATTAATAGAATTAAAGATATTAAATTATAAACAATTTTAGAGTTCTTAATTGAAAATTCTCTCCCTTTAGCTAGGGTTTTCTCTCCATCACCTACTTTCTCGATTAGGGTTTTCTTTCCTTCTTTTGGCCGACGCACGGTTTTCGGCGTGATCTACGGCAAATCACGATCAGCATGACTTTGACAAGCGGTGATGGCATAGCAGGTTTGTCGACGGGGTGGGCAGATATGATCTTGAAAGACGAGGACATCGACGTGGAGGCAGCGCTGATGGATGACATAGCAGCGGTATCTGCGGCGGCGTCATGGACCTTGATAGGCCGTTTCTTGACTCAACAGTTCATCAAGGTTGAATATATGCGGCAAGTTATGGCTTCTGTCTGGAAGCCGGTGAAGGGGGTGCAGATCTCAGAACTCCAACCTAACCTCTTCCAGTTTGTGTTCCATCATAAAACATATATCTGAAGGGTTTTGGAAGAGGGTCCTTGGTCATTTGAGAATTGTACGTTAATTTGTAAGGAGTTGAACGAAGGGCAATTACCGGGGAATGTCCTCCTTGACTCGGTCGATCTCTGGGTCTAGGTGTATGAGCTACCGATTGGCTACAATACGGCTGTGGTACTGGAGCAGATATGAAATTTTATTGGAACGTTTATCAAATGCGATGAAAGGCAACTGGACGGCCCCCTCAAGACTTTCTATCGGATTCGAGTATCTATCCCCATTGATAGGTCGCTGAAAAGGAGGATGAAGCTAATCCGCCGAGATAAATCATGGGGGTGGGTAAGTTTCAAATATGAGCGACTCCATACCTTTTGCTTTTTCTGTGGATACCTAGGGCACTCGGATAAATTTTGTCTTAAAGTCCCGGACTCGGATCTATCACCCGAACTCTACCCTTTTGGAACGTGGATGTGTGTCGGGCACGTCAGGGGACTGAGGCCGATCGGGGATCATTGGTGTAACACCCCGAAATTTTTAAACTTCTGAAGCTTATATAATAAAGGTAGAATCTTATTAAATCCAAAACACAATACAAAGAGTACGGGGTGCTATGCCACACCTGAGCTGGAGAACTCAGGTGCACAGGCTAACTAGCTAATATCCTTAATAAAGAGAATGCATAACATGGCACGCAGGCCAAAAAGGAAACTATCTACTTCTACGCTCCGAGGTTCTAGCGCGCTCCCGTGCCTACTCTTCTGTGCCTGAAAGCCAAATATATCTGTTCAGCGAGAGATGCTGGTAACCCACTCCAACGCGTTGAAATACAATACATATAGACATATATATAGATATACGAAAACCATTTTGAAGCATGAAGATATATCCTACGAAACTCTAGCTTTTAAAACAGGGATAGACTCGACAGATAGAGCTAAGCACAGACAACAATTATACCAAGCATATAAAGTTTAAAAACAGGCAAGACAGATAAAGATAAGCACAGTTAATATCCATAACCCGACATATATGATTCCCGTCATAAACCCAAAGTCACATCCCAAGACACTCATAACAACCACTCTTCCATATCTCATCACATAGCACACTTTGTTGGCGCCACAGGACCAATCGCATGCCCATACATGAGGGTCAGCGCATATAGCTCTGACACGGCCCCGCAGGACCCTGCCCTGTATCACAACACGGAGGGGTCGATCGCAACCGACCGATGAACTGCAGCTCATCATAGTTTGATCGCAACCAAACAGTGGACCGCAGCCCAAGAGTATGTCATCTGACCGCAGCCAGGAAATATGAACCGCAGCTCATGTAGAAACGTTTGATCGCAACCAAACGGTGGACCGCAGCCCTATATAATATTTATATACCTGACCGATCGCAACCGGCCTGGTTAACAGTCAGTATGGTTCTCAACCCATCCAACTGCCCGTATAACCAATTTGATCGCAACCAAATTGGGGTATCATGCACACATAACACATAGCAAGCACATGCAACCCACATTAACACATTGGGAATGGGGAGAAAACGTATAACAAAACCTATGCGTGATCCTTCACATACTAAGAATAATCCTAAGGGGTTCATACTTCTTTCACCTAGGTCAACGGGATACCAATTCAACTAGCATGCAATATATAAGACTCATACAACCTACGAACGGTACCCGAAATATCAAACTAGACATAGGCACGATAGACGGAGTCCGTTGGGACACCACGGGGGTCGGGGGAACATCAAACGGGGAAGCCAAAATCCCACGGTGGGGTAAAATCCAGCGGGTAACCGGTGGGTGAGGTGTCACCCGCCGGTGGCGTGATTCCGGGCAGCGGGTGCCCGGCAGGCAGCTGCCCGCCCGCTGCCGGCGTTGCCCATGTTGGGCGCGGGTAGGTGGCGGATCCCCTACCCCCCACTGACTCTTTTTCACCAAAAACGCCCTGGGAACCTTTGTGGAACCCGAAACCATGCTTAGACACTTTCAAACGCAATTGACAACAATACGTAGACAATTAATGGATTCAAGAGCGAGAACATACGGCACATAACCTATCATGCTTTTCTAAACATAATCAACACCCAAACATACGAATTCCCACCCAATATACCAAGAACAATACCATACGAGTTCCACGATACAACCTAGGGTTCTAATTACTTTTAAATCAACAAGAACACAATTCATCTCCTAATGTCAACATTCGGTAGGAATATCACATAAACATCAAGAACATCATATAATCATCAAGAACATCAAGAACATCATATAATCATCAAGAGCCTCTTAATACCATCAAGATCATCAAGATCACCCATGGAATCATAACACCAATTACCAAGATCGACATAATGAATCGTCAACACACAAGAATATGGGGGAAATCCTAAGAGGGGAATCATAGCTATGAAAATAGGTTTTGTTGAGACATGGGTTACCTTTTAGCCTTAATTAATTCCTTGGCTATGAAGGGTCTTTCTTGAAGCTTTCTTCTTTCTTGATTTCTCCTAAGGGAATTCTTGGAACTTCTTGTGTGGTGAGGGATTATTGTGGTGGGGGTTCTAGGTGCCTCCTATATCCCTATTTATATATTTAAGACTCTTAATTAGGGCCTGAATGGTATGGGTTTACTAATTCTATTCCTTATAGGACTAAGGGCTTGTTTTAGAGATAAGGGTCCATGGTCCATAGTGGACCATATTAATTAATTAAAGAGAATCCTAATCATAATCTGAATAGTAAAAGGTTTACTTTCTTTATTCCTAGTAGGCTTAAGACTCTAATTTAGGCAAGGGTCCACGGTTCATGGTGGGCCTTTATTAATTAATTAAAGGGAAACCTAACCGAATTAAATCATATTTAATTATTATTAACGGGATTAATTAAATAATTAATCCGGGATTGAAGGCCGTAACACAGGGTGTTACAATTGGCTATTACCGTCGGACGTCCCGGTGCAGTATGTGGAACTGGAGGTACAGCTGGCAGCGACACCGTGCATGGAAGATGGTGATGAGGCAGTGCATGGAAGATGGTGATGAGGCAGTGCATGGACAAAGATCCACATGCTCGGATGAAAGAATTACCGCCATATCTAAACGACGACGTTAGAATGGGAATCATGGCACTAGGGGGCACACCCACGGGTATGGATGTTAATATGGTTGATCGCTCAAAGAACTTGCAACAGGCAGGTTCTGGTATCCAGACCCGCCCAACACAATGAGTACTCTGAGCTGGAACTGTCATGGCTTGGGCAATCCACGAACAGTTCGTGAAATTGTGGACATTGTGTCCCGGAAGAAGCCTGATTTTATTTTTCTTACGGAAACCAATGTGGGGCGGATACATGTTGAACGTATTCGTGTCAAACTTGGGTTTGATGGACTTTTTTATGTTAATTGTTGGATTAAGCGGTGGATTAGCATTACTATGGAGGAAAAATAATACAGCAAGACTACTGAGTTTCTCGAGGAATCATATTGATGTGGAAGTTAGTGTGACTGGTTTTCCAAACTGGAGGATGACCTGTTATTATGGGTTCCCTGAACATATGAGACGTGTGGAATTGTGGGATTTATTAAAAGCGTTGGCAGCACAGTCTGGATTACCTTAGATCATGGTGGGTGATTTTAATGATCACCTCTTATTCCAGAATGAGAAGTGAGGGGGCAGACCACATCCAGATAATCTCCTACGTGGATTTGGGGAGACTATTGAACAATGTGGTTTGTCTCAATTACCTATGAGTGGCTATCAATTTACATGGGAAAAGGGGAAGGGCACATCTAGATGGATCGAGGAAAGATTGGATAAGGTGCTTGCTACTAATGATTGGTGCGGTATTGTTCCTGACGCTAGGGTTTCTAATGTGTTAACAAGAACATCTGACCATTCCGCTATCTTCCTGGCAATCCGTGATTATGGAGTAAGGGGAGGTGGGGGAAGAAAAAGATTCCGTTTTGAAATGGCATGGCTATATGATGAGGGGTGTAGGACGATGGTGGCTAAATCTTGGGAAGAAGGAAGGAATGAAGGCACGCAAAATTGTATTCGGCATTGTGGGAATCGTCTGGCCCAATGGGGAGGTGACCACTATCACAGATTTGGTGAAAAAATCATGCAACTCCGTAAGGAACAACAATATCTGAAAGGGCGCACTGGTTCAGCCTCCCTGGCAGAATTCCAGCGTTTGGAGGAAGCCCTGTCCCATATGGAGACCCAAAAGGATGTATATTGGAAACAAAGAGCTAAACAACATTGGCTCAAGGATGTTGATACAAACACAAAATTCTATCACAGGTATGCCTCTCACCGAAAGAGAAAGAATACTTTATCTAGACTTATGAATGATTATGGGGATTGGGTGGAAAGGGAGGATATGAAGTGTGTTATTCTAGAATATTTTAAGAAAATATTCAGCTCTAGTAACCCTATGAATGGTGAGCCCTTGTTTGATCGATAATGTTATCCCACGAGTCACCCAAGCACAGAATGAATCACTCTTAAGGCCCTTTGAAATAGATGAAGTCAGGGATGCCCTCTTTATAATGTTCCATGATAAAAGCACCTGGCCTAGATGGTACGAATTCGGGTTTTTACCAGCATTTTTGGGATATTGTGGGTGGAGATATTTCGAAATTCATTGTGGATTGTCTAAACTCGCACTCTTTCCCCTCTAGCCTAAATAATACTGATGTGGTATTAATCCCAAAGAAAAGTACCCCAGAAGTGGGCTCTGATCTTAGACCTATAGCCCTGAGCAATGTGATTTATAGAGTTATGGCTAAAATGATTGTACACAGAATGAAGCCTTTAATGGATAACATTATATCTGTTTCACAGAGTCCATTTATACCTGGTAGGCTGATTACTGATAATATCTTAATAGCCTCTGGGGTAGGACATTATTTAAATAGGAAGCAACGTGGGGTTGTAGGCTAGAGTGCTCTCAAATTGGATATGGCTAAAGCCTATAACCGTATGGAATGGTCTTTCCTACAGGGTATGCTTGTGGCCCTGGGTTTTGATGATAGATGGATTGAACTTATTATGTTGTGTGTGTCTACAGTATCATAATCTTTTTTGTTTAATGGTTCCCGTAGTGACTCAATCACGCCCACCCATGGATTAAGGCAGGGAGACCCATTATCTCCTTATCTCTTTATTATTTGCGCTGAAGGCCTTTCTCTGTTGCTGCAGAAAGCACAAAATAGGGGATCAATACAAGGATGTAGAGTTGCTAGAGATGCCCCTCCTATTTCAATCTATTTTTTGTTGATGACAATCTATTATTTTTTAGAGCTACTGTGCAGGAGGCCACTGAAATTAAGAATTGCTTATCACTGTATGAGAATTTGTTTGGGCAAGTGGTTAATTATCATAAATCAAGCATATGCTACAGCAAAAATACAGGGAGTGTAGAAAGAGGAGAAATGGGGTAAATTTTGGGGTTAACCAGGCGTCTAATTTTGGAAAATACCTTGGTTTACCCTCTTTTATTGGAAAGAATAAAAAAGCAGTTTTTGCCTATATTGAGGATAAAATCAGACATAGAATTGGATCCTGGAATAAAAAGTTACTATCACAGGCAGGAAAAAAAATCTTGTTAAAAAGTGTGGCTCAAGCTCTGCCTACTTTCTCAATGAGTGTATTTTTACTACCTATATCTGTGTGCACTGTGATTGAGCGACTCACGAATCGTTATTGGAACAGGGCATAAGGTTGGAACTTGGAACGTGAAACTTGTCATTGTGTGATTTGTTGTCTTCATTGCTTATGAGCATGTCTATTGTGAACTGTACCTTGAATGTGGTAGGTTGCATCTAGTGTTGAGTATGTTGTTGTTGTCTTTATTGACTTGTTGATTGTTGTTGATGGATGGTCTTTGTTGAGAGTGTTGATAAGTCTCTTTGATGTTCCCTCTCTTGGTTTTGAAATGATATATATATCATATTCCCGTCTCAAATGCTTTTCTTATATCTATATATTATGATACTTAACGCGTATTGGTGGGTTACCAGCATCTTTTGCTGACGGATGTTATCCCTTATGTTTTACAGGTTTTCAGTAGCTTTGGAGAGCGCGCTAGTTGTCTGTAGCTAGTTTAGTTCTCCTTTATTCTAGACTTTGAGGCCTGTGAGCCTAGGTAGCTAACTGTTGACTGCTGTTGTTTTGTTAGTAGCTTGCCTGTGCACCTATGTTTGATATAGGTGTGGCATAGTACCTCTGTACTTAGACTTTGCTTCCGCTGACTTAATGAATGTTTAGCTTGTTTTTCCCTTTAATTAAGCTTTTAAATTTTGGTAAAATCGGGGGTGTTACACATATCACACCAATGTGCGTTACCATCCTCGCCATCACCCGCACACACGAACATCATACCACGAATATACTATTTATATCATGCTTGTAATTTTTTTTTTTTCAAGTTGTATACCATAACCCATTACTAACTAGTTGCACACGCCAAATCATCTCGTACCATCAACCACCTGATTGCACACGCCAAATCATCTCGTACCATCAACCACCTGATTGCACACGCCATATCCTCACGTTGCACACACCATCCCCCGTTAATTCTGCGTAAATACTGCTCGTTCCCTCTTTTTTTTTTTTTCCTTATACCCTAACTCATTACTAATTGGTTGCACACGTCACATCATCATTTATCACACACCAATAATACTATTTAAACTTTGTCACTTCTCATTTGTTTTTACGGTTATACCGTGTACCATAAACCCCATGATTGCACATGCCATATCCTCACGCTGCACACAACATCCCCCATTAAATACTGCTCGGTCCATCTTTTTTTTTTTTATTATTATTATTATACCCTAACTCATTGCTAACTGGTTGCACACGTCACATCATCATGTAGCACACACCAATAATACTATTTAAACTCTACCACTTCTCATTTGTTTTTAGGGTTATACCGTGTATCATTAACCCCTGATTGCACCCGCCATATCTGCACGTTGCACACACCATCCCCCATTAACAATACGTATATACTCATCGTTCCATCTTCTTTTTTTCTCTTATACTCCAACCCATTCCTAACTGGTTGCACACGTCCTATTGTCACATAGCACACATCATCACCCAATAAACGACCGTTATACAACAATAGTACTACTAACATACAATTAAATTACATGAGTCGTTAGTCGTAGCAAATGGAGGAAAATAAGCCATTAACATTGTGTTCTTTGTGCTCAACGCCGATCTTTTGCGTGGATAATATGAATCTTCCGATTGTATACTGTTTTTATCATCATAATTATATGAAAATATTATTAAATGCGATTTTCACCATATAAAGATTATTGTTACATTACTAATTTGCCCCTTATTCTTATTTCATTATATTCTATTCTATGTTTATTACTCAATCATGCCCATTGAATTATATTAGATGAATGCACATGATGTGTTCTCACGTTTTCACCTAAGCACATGTTCTCACTGGAACCCTATATATATATATATATATATATATATATATATATATATATATATATATATATATATATATATATATATATATATATATATATATACATATATATAGTCGCACTCCTGTGCGAATAGGCGCCAGGTGCGAAAATGCAAATGAATCAGCGCGCGACATGTGTCCTTGGTGCATGTAAATGTGTTATATGTGCAAGTAGTTGGCGCACCTATGCAAGTAAAAGTGCAGGTAAAATCACTTACAAGTTCACCTACTTTCACCCACAAGTGCATGTAATTTTGTCTTGTTAACATTCATTGATCGGCACCTACTTTCACCTACAAGGGATTGTAATTTTTCTTTATTAACATTCATTGATTGGGTGCACCTACTTTCACTTACAAGTGCACCTACTTTCACCTACAGGTGCACCTACTTTCCCCTATAAATGCATCTACTTTCACTTAGGTGCACCAGTTATAACTATATGTGCATCTAGATCTGGACACGTGTTACGCGCTGATTCATTCGCATTTTCGCACATGGGCGCACCTTTCGCACCAGAACACAACTATATATATATATATATATATATATATATATATATATATATATATATATATATATATATATATATACATTTAAAAATATGAATTCATACAAATGTCCTTTTATGTCTTTTTACACTCATCATCTTATTCAACAACTAAATTTACCAAATACCTTAATTTCAATCAATTAGTTTATTAGCTATTAGTTTTTCAGCTTTACCTATTAGCTTTTCAGCTTTTAGGTTTTAGCTAGCTTATAAGGTATGTATGCCAATCAGAGCATTTATAATTATCCACGACATATTTTCATACTTTTAAAACATCTATAATTTTTTATTTATCCATGCTTTCAAACACTTCACTTTCAATAAAAATAACCAAACAATCATTCATCAAATTATCTCACATTCGATTGTGCAATATATTATTGACTATCTTCATATCTAAAAAAGCTCTTTCAACTCTTACAATCGCCACCGGTAATATTAAATTAAAGTTAATTTCACAAGTAAAATAATTAATAGATATACACTATTTTTCTTGGATTCTGAAAAATGCAGAATTAGAGAGCACATCGATATAATTATTAATTAAATATGGGAAAAAGAAGAAATTTCCAAACTCATCTTGCAAAATCCAACCCAAACCCACTCCCCTTCCTACTATGTCAATTTATTAAATAGTTTTTGGTGTTTTACAAATTGCAACTTATTATTAAAAAAAATAATTAAATCAATGACAAACATTCATTCTAATCAAAGAATAAAATAATATTTTAAAGAAAAATATCTTTCAAAATTTTTACATTAAAAAAAAAAAACTTTCAGATCTTTATCTTTCTAAATGTTTACACAAAAATCATTTACGAAATTTTCTTTCCCACAACTGTCATAACTCACAAGTCTCTTTCTTTAAATGATATCAAATAAACAAATCTATTTGATAGTGCATATACAAATAATTAATAGCACACATATTTAAGTGCACTATTATAAATCACAAGTTCATTATCAGTTATCTGCATATTCACTATCACCTGCTTCTAAATACAACGAAACTGTCATACTTACGAAAATGAATTTTGCATTTTTTTTCCTTAATTTTTAGATAAGGAGATGAGATTACTCCATATTTTCTTACTTAATTTCATTTTTCATAAAAGTCCAATCGTCAATTTGACCTTTATCCCTATGTAAAATAGTAGCAAGCATAGTGAGGGACACAAATACCATATATTTATAATTATAGGAGAGTTTTTAATATTTCGCAAAAAAAAAAAGATAAATATATAATTAAATAAATTTTATACTTTCCTAGTTAATTGTGCCAAATTTATTTTTTCTTATTTTAAGAAATTTGGTATCAACCAAGTAGCTTGTAGCTCAATGGCATCTTTGTGACTCTCTCAAATAGAATGTCATATGTTCAAATTCTAATAGATGCATTAACTCTTTGTGCTTCAATACAAAAAAAAAAAATGGTACTGAAAAAAAAAAAAAAAGAAGCTAAAAATTTGATAAATTTTAAAGCTAAAAATTTGATAAATTTTATACTTTACTAGTTACCCAAACTTCATATTCAAGTTGTTATATGGCGGATCATGCTGTTTTTTTTTTTTTTTTTTGCCCGCTATCATGAACCAATGATGTATCACAGGTAAATTATTGTGTGGACTATAAATATCAGGTACATTTTTAATATATTAAAAATATATTATTTTTGTATTAAATGTACATTATTTTGTACTAAAGGAAGTGGCGGAGCCAGGATTTTTCTTCAGCGGGGGCGAAGAAGCAAAAGGAAAATAAATTAAAAAATGTTCAAATACAAGATTCAAATACAAATAAGATTGTTAAAATACAAATACATTATAAATTATAATATAAGGTTTATGATAAACTACAGGATAATACGTCACTAAACAATATTGAAATCGTTGTAGAACTGATTCATTTAAAATTTGATCAAAAATATATTTTTCAACATACGACACTAAACAATCATTTAATAAATTAAGTAATTAGAAATTAACTAGGGATATAATCCACACTAATTAATAATTAGCAAAAACTAACAGTAACTAATTAACAACAAAAACTATAACACTAGTAATTAATTAACAGTAATTAACACTTAGCAATTAATAAATTTAATAGTAATTTTAACAGTAAAGTAGTAAACTTAACAATTAGTCATTAGCAATTAGTAACTAACAGTTGGTAATTAATAATTAACAGTAGTAACTAACATATATAATTTTGGGCAGTGGGGGCAACTGCCCCCACTGCCCCCATGCTCCCTCCGCCACTGACTAAAGGTACATTATATTTTATAATGTACCCTTAGTATATTAAAAATGTATTTTCAAAAAATGTACCTTACGTACATAAATAATGTATCCTTCATATATTAAAAATATACTTTTTATTTATGCTCCACATAATTGTGTGGACCATGATCCATGTAATAATGATTGTGTATCACATTACAAATATGTATATTGTCAAATGAAACTTTAATAAAATTAAAATTATACTTTGGTATTGCTATAATGAAATTATTGTATGTAAAAATTGGAACTAAAAAACATAACTCATGTAATAACATATATTGTCAGATAAATCTAAAGTGTAATTAAAATGATAATTAAGCGTTACTATAATGAAATTAATGTATGAAAAAAATAAAACTAAAAAATATAGTTTATACAATAATGTATATTGTCAAATGAACTCGAAGTGTAATTAAAATGATAATTTAGTGTTACTATAGTAAAATTAATATATGTGAAAAATAAAACTAAAAAGCAGAACTCATAGAATAAGATATATATTGTCAAATGAAATTACAATTAAAAAAAATAAAACGACGCCGTTTTATTTCATGCTCTACACAACAATTCTACAATAAAATTGGCGGTACGAGACGGATTAATCCAATGAACTAAATCCGTTTTGACGGTTGTACTACCAAACCCCATCTAAAAGGCGAATGGCTCGTTCCACCCAAAGGTTTGCCGGTTTGCCGAGTGGTTTGCCTGTTTTCAATAGAAATTCATTCCACCATTTCATAGCCATAACTGCTACTTGCTACTACCGCCGACCAATAATGCACCGGTCGAAACCAAATCTTTAACATATACTATTGGATTAACTATTTGTTCTCTCCGCACTAGATGGTTGACTAATTGATAGCATTAGTTGATTGTAAAAAAGTTTTTGATAAATTAATTGTTAGACGATAACTGATTACATGCAAAATGATTTCTCAAAAGATTGATTGAAAAAGTTACTTTGAGTAAATTTTTGAATTTTAGCATTTTGAAACAATAAATTTTAAAAAAAAGCTAATTAATCAAACACTCATATTGATTGTTTAACAAGTCAAACAGTTAATTGTGATCAAATAAGTCAAAATTAGTTGATAAGTTAACTATTTTACCAAACATGGCCAAAATCAAGCACAACTCAACATTTTACAATGCTCTCCCATTTCAGATTTGCAGATAATATAACCTGTTCCAAGTTAACATTTCTGCAATGACTCTATCCCAATTTATAAATCTCTTATAGAATGAACCAATCACCATAAGCACTTGTCTTACATGTGATCCATATCACTACTCGTATTCTTGTACTTCAAAATCAGTAACAGACTTCATATTCCATAACGCTAGGTGCAACATTATATAGATTTCTTCTGACTCGGGGTGTGTTTTGTCATGAGCTATGAATCTGTGAAGGGCTCCAAAAGTCTCCACAAAACTAAAACCAGGAAACTTCTTCACCCCTCTTGTTTCCATGGCTTCTCTCACCGCTTTTGCTTCGTACCAGCGTTTCTTTAGCGCATACACATTTGATAGGCCAACGTAACGACCATCGTGACGAGGGTCCAATTCAATCAACTTCTTTCCCACTATTTCTGCAAGGTCGAGTTTTCTGTGATTCAGACAGCCACTAAGTAGTGCACCTAACATGGAAGCAGATGGTTCCATAGGCATTCCAGACATTAACTGATAAGCTTCGGTTAACTGACCAGCGCGGGCTAAAACATCAATCATGCAAGCGTAATGTTCGTTCTTCAGTTTCGTGCCGTTTTTGCCCAAAGAATCGAAGAAACGCCAAGCTTCCTTCACTAAACCTCCATGTGCACAAGCACTCAACAAGCACAAGAATGTGATTTCATCAGGTTGGATCTTTAAACTCTGCATCTCCCTGTACATTTTCAATGACTCCCAAACAAGACCATGGGCTGCTAGCCCTCCAATTATAGAATTCCAAATCAGCACATCGGTGTTTCTCGTTGAAACGCTGCGAAAAACCGACATTGCATCTTCTATTGCACCACTCTTGGCATACATGTCTATGATTGATGTCCTCAAAACTAGAGTCATGGGCAACTTATTCTCAACCACATATCTATGCATCATCCTCCCTTGCTCTAGAGCTCCCAAGTGAGCACAAGCACACAAAACACTCACCATGGTCACCTCATTAGCCCTTGGCCCAACTTGCTTCATTCTTTCAAAAACGGCCAAAGCCTCCGCATACTCCCCATCCTTGACGTACCCATCAATCAGTGAGCTCCATGACACCACGTCTCTCTCAGGCATCCTTTCAAACACCTCCCTCATCGAAACAACGTCCCCAGATTTCGCATACCCATCCAACATCGAGTTCCACGACACCGAGTTCTTCAGGGGAATTTCATCGAACACCTTCCTTGCAGACGAAATATCACCACAAGAGCCATACAAATGAATCAAAGAATTCAAAACAAACCTATCCTCAACAAACCCATCTCTCACCGCACGCCCATGAACACTCCCGCCAACTCTTGGCTGCGAAAGGTGGGCCAAAGCCTTGATAAGAAAAGGGTACGTGAGGTGGTCGGGGAGGACACCGGTCCGCAGCATTTCAACAAATAAAAATACAGACTTGTTTGGGTTCTTGCTGTGGGAATGGCCTCTAATGAAAGCATTGTAGTCTCTGACAGTTGGGTTAGGGCGTTGAAGGAATAAGCGATGGGCATAATCGTTTGAAGGATCGGAAATTGCTGCTAGCGAGAGGATTCTTGAAGCGAATGGGCTTTCTTGGGAGAGGCCAAACACAGTGAGCATTGCGTGGATTTGCCTGAGATCTGAGATTGATTTGCATTTCTGTAGTAGGGTGATGAATGCTTGGGTTAGAGAGACTGGATTTGTCAGGTGTATGTGTTGCATTCAACATGTAGTACCGCTACCCTGCTAGAGGTTCGTGTTGACGTCCGCTTAGAGCTTGAGATCGATCAGAAGTGACAATAGGTTGCTTGGCATAGCTAACTGAAAATTTTGTTGCAAAGTGAAAAGAGTACTTCTACACTTCTACCTGAACTCCCATTTTTTACTCCTGCATGTTTTGATTGCTCAATTTTATAGCCTCCAATCAAATTTAAACACAAGTAAGAGTAAAAATTAGGAATAAACTTTTGAGAATATATGTAGTATTTTTCTAAGTGAAAATTAGTACTTCCTCTATAAAATGAGTTGATTATTCATTGATCAAATCCAAAGAATTAATGCTCTCCATTGTCCATCGTTCAATCATGTAACTATTTATTTGGAATAGTAAAAGAGGTGTCATCAAAATATATAGTAGTTTTATAATTATTTTTAAATCGAAATAAGGGTCAAAATAAGTTACTCAACTGTACATCAAACTACAATTAGGTCATGGAATTAAAAAAAAAATGCAATTAGATCCTTGAACAACACAAACTTGTACAATTCAACCAAAAATGATATGTTTACGTAAAAATAAGTTGGCATGGCCGTTACCGAATTTAAAAATAATTTTTTTTAAAAAAAAAATTAAAAAGAGAACTGTCGGAGACGAAGCCGGCAGAAGACGATTTGTCTTCGACAGTTCTTGTTTTTTTAGAACAAAATTAATTAATTAATTTATTTAAAATTATTTTAAAAAATTACTTTTAAATTCGGTAACCGCCACGTCAACATACTTTTAGGTAAATAGGTCATTTTAGGTTGAATTACATGAGTTTGTGTTGTTTAGAGACTCAATTGCATTTTTTTTTGAATTCAAAGACCTAATTGCAGTTTGGTGTGCAGTTGATTGCCTTATTTAACCTTATTCCTTTTAAATTTGATTCTTCATTTTTAATTGAACTTTTAATGTAGTTTCTAAATATATAAAAAATTGAATTAAAAATAACTCGTCAAGTCTTCTTAACTAACACACAAAATGGGATGGGGGAGTAATAAGTTAGATTTTGGGATGGGGGGAGTAATAAGTTAGATTTTGGGATGGGGGGAGTAATAAGTTAGAATTAGAGACCAATAAATATTAAGTTAGAGCTATTGTTGCGTTTTGTCCTCCAACTATTATTTATATATCACATTTGCTCGCGATTATTAGTTTTGTTACATTTGGTGCACATGTTTTTTTTTTTTTTTGGTTACATTTAATCCTGTTAACCAAATGTTTGACAATCACTTTTTATATTTTGATGTAAAAGTATTACTTTTTTTATCAAAAGTATTATATTTTCCGTCATTTTTTCCTAATAAGTAATGTTGCACTTATAAAGGAAAATGTAATACTTTTGATGAAAAATGTAAAACATTAAATCAAAATGTAAAAATATAACACCTCGACTTCAAACCTTGAGAATGCTTGGGCCATTCTCATTTCTTTTGCGAAAGCCTTTTTCTTGTTGTTGTGCTGGAAGGGCCTCTGCTTCTTCCTCTATCACTTTGGCTTTCCCTTTGGCAGCCTCTCGCTTAGCTACCTTCACCATATAGACTCGATGAATTTCGTCTATTTGGGTAACAAGAGGAATGGAGGAGGTTCCAAGCCATTGAAATGAGAACGCATCCTCGAGTCACATGTGTTGAAGACCTTCTTCCAAAGTGTCAAGGCCTGACATGCGCCACTTCTGTCATGTAGTGACTTGGGTGAGCTCAGCGAGCAAGTCTTCATCTGAGGAGACTACACTTTCTTTACCAGCGTAAATGGCCTCAGGTGGATCGTCATTGGTCATTTATTTAGCCAATTCGACATCAACGTTGATTAGACTTTGATGAACTACTGGGACCTCGGTAGTAGCCTCACTATCACTTGCAACCTCAGCATGTGTCTCTCGTGCTATCCCGGTAATGACATCAATTACCTCCTCGCTCACCACATTTTCTACTTGAGTAGGTTTTTTTGGGAGGGGTTGAGGTCGAATGGTAACCGGAACATTTTCCTCACGGGACGTCTTGGCTTCAAACTTAGCCTCTCGAATAGTTTCCAACACCTTGGTTGTTCGGGGCCTCTCGGTTGCACTTCGAACGGAAGGCTCGATTTTTGCAGCCTCTCGAGCTTTGTCCATTCGGATCTGTTCCCCCTGAGCTGGTGACGTCTCATCCACCACCTCTCGCACTGCCTTGACTGGCTGTGACGGCTCGGTTGGCTGAATCCTCGGCTTTTAGGACTTAGGCGCCTTAGGAGCCGTTGATTTTGGCTTTGCAGGAACATCGGCGACCAACCTTTTCTTTGCTTTGAACGGTTTTGCCATCTCGGGCTGGGGAACATCCTTTTCTGTGGACTTGGGAGTGACAACCTTTCCTTTCAATGCTGGAGGTTTAGAGCGCATGTAATCCGCATTTTGGTGAGTTGGGACACCAGCCCTAAGCGTAACTCCCTTAGACTTGAGTATCTTAGTGACTAAGAATCCAAAACTCACCTACTTGACTAGGGTTTTGTCGGTCACGTCCACAGCTTTCTCGACGAATTGCTTGAGAAAGTCGAACACTACCCTTGACCAATCTACATGGTAGTTGTTGAGAAGGGCACTCAGCATTGTGAATTTTTCCTCAGTGACGTCATCTATGTCTGCCACTCTGTTCTCGATGATCCGCCTGAGTATGTCAACGGCCCTTTCAAATTTAGGCTTGAGCGACTTCTTCTTGAGTGAAAACTTCAAGTCCTCATCTGCCTGTTCGCCTTTGACCTCCTGCTATAAGGCCTCTTGGTTGTACGCATGACCGGAACTATCTGGCTTTTCGTTCTCCTTGACTTAAAAGCCGAATAGAGTCCAAATGTCACCATGAACAACTGTGACCTCTGTTCCGTTTACCACCAATCTAATCTGGTCCGCTTTCATACTCAAGCGAGAATTGATGAAGAAACTTGGTTCCATCCAGCTGATGAACCGTCTTGTAGTCGTGGCAGACATACTTCATCAAGCCACCATCATCTAGACACTTGAGGATTTTCTCTGTCGTTGCTTTGTCTGTTGTATGCTTCAGCAAACCTTCCCTGTCTAAAATGAGACCATTCTTGACCTTATTGCTTAGTTAAGTGAGAACTGGCAGGTCATTAATAGGGGTAGTGGAGTTGGATGCACCAGAAGTGTTTGAAGATGCCATTGATGGTGTATGAAAAGCTTTGAAAGGTTTTGGGAATTTGAGAGCAAAAGATTTCTTTACTTCTTGCAATGTGTGAAAAAGTAAGAGGGTAGGCCGGGTTTTGGATTTAAATACCTTTCGAAAAATGGGCAAGCTACAACAAATGGATGTCAAGACAGCGTTCCTAAATGGATTTCTCATAAAAGAAGTGTTTCTTGCACAACCTAAAGGTTTGAGAGTTCAAAACATCTAGACCATGTGTATAGTTAAAGAAAGCTCTCTATGGACTAAAGCGAGCACCTAGGGCATGGTATGAAAGGCTTACTAAGTACCTAATCAAGAAATGTATACAAGGGGAAGTATTCATAAGACACTATTCATCAAAAGGTATAACTCTAATATAATAATTACTCAAGTTTATGTTAATGATATTGTCTTTGGATCAACATCTGCAAGTTGTGCTAACAGTTTTGTGAATCTCATGCAAGAAGAATTTGAAATGAGCATGGTAGGTGAACTGACATACTTTCTAGGTCTACAGATCAAACAAACTTCTAAAGGTATGTTTGTCTCACAAACCAAATATGCTAACAATCTGGTAAAAATATTTGGACTCGATACTTCTAAAAGTATACGAACTCCATTTCCCCACACACACGAAACTGCAATGAGATGAGATAGGCAAAAGTGTTGACTCAAGTCTATATCGAAGCATGATAGGCAGTTTGTTATATCTAACTGCTTGTCGCCCTGGCATTAGTTTCAGTGTTGGAACATGTGCTCGATATCAGGTAGATCCCAAGGAATCACACCTGGCTGCTGTAAAACGTATCATAAAATACGGGCACTGCCAATTTTGGTCTTTGGTACTAAAACAGATCAAACATTCAACTTGTTGATTTTACAGATGCAGATTGGACCGGAAATATACATCATGAAGTTGTTTTTTACTTAGGTTCAAATTTAATCTCTTGGTTAGGCAAAAAATAGAACTTCATATCCTTGTAAACTACAGAAGCAGAGTATATAGCTGCAAAGAGTAGTTGTGCCTAATTACTCTGGATGAAACAAATGTTGGCAGATTATTGATTAACATTATTTTTGTTGTTATTTTAAATAATCTTTATATAGTTAATTTGTAATAGTTAGTTAATTTTTATTTATTTTTATTTTTATTATTGCTATAAGTAGTTTTATTAATACTATTAATTTTTGGGTTATATTTGTTAATAAATTAATTTTTGTTAATAAATTTGTCAGTATAATAATTTCTTAACCCAATTTAATAAAATGCTTGTTGTTGTTGTTGTTGTTGTTAAGAAGAAGAAGAAGAAGAAAGGGTCAGCGCCAACCGATCGCAATTCGCCCCGGCCTTGTCAATGTACGAGAGGCGCGAGATTAGCGTCGGCAGCAAACAGAGTCGTCGGATTCGATGAATTAGCTGAAGCTTCGGAGTGATGAGAGGCGCTTCAATGGCGTTTGTTGGTCCAAGCCACCGAATTCGCAGAGTACGCTTGAAGATGTGTGTTCAAAAAGGGAGCCAAATTCAATCGTTCTTCACTACTGGAAATTATGCAATTTCCGACCACCTGAAAGTGATCTTAAATCAAGTTGATACCAAAAAGTCCAAAAAGTGGTCGGAAATAGCAACAAAGGTTTTTTCGGATATCAAAAGTGGTCGGAACATGCAAGGCTTTCGACTTGATTTATAATCACTTTCAGGTGGTCGGAAATTCAATAATTTCCAGTAGTGCTTCATCTCCAATCCCCGCATCTAGACACCAAAACAAATTCTTCTTCACAAAAACTCACAAAAAAAAACATATTTCAATTTCAATTTCAATTTGATGGACATTATTTTTGTTGTTATTTTAAATAATCTTTATATAGTTAATTTGTAATAGTTACTTTTTCTTAATTCGAATTGCATGAATTGAGTTGTGTTATGCATACAACTTAAGCTTTATCATGATTAGTGCCTAAGTACGTATGATGCTAATTGCAATGCTAAATCATAATGTTTAACTGGTGTTGGGTGGTCTCTTTTGCCCATTTCTGAGAAGGACAAAAACAATGATTTGCTAATTAATTAATGTTCATAGTTTTTATTCTCTTACTATTTCATCTCGCCGTTATTCAATTATTTTTTCTTGCCTTTATTTTCTACTTGCAGTTTCATTTGGTTAAGTACATTTGATTCTTATTTAGTCTTGAACAACTATAAATTGTCAAGTTAGTTTTAATTTCAAGGTTATTAAATTGCATTGTATCAATTCCCTGTGGGTTCGACGCTTGCTATTGCACACTATCACTACAATTAACTCGTGCACTTGTCAAGACATATATTAAAATTGTCCATCAATTATGATCTTTCCTATGAGGTAATTACACTATAATGTGATATTCAAGTGCTATCAACATCATGAAAAATCCAGCATTACACTCTAAAACAAAGCACATAGACACTCCAAAATCAATTTGTTTATATGTTCACAAAAGCCTTGGATGGTAACAAATTTCTTCTCTTGACATCACATTGAACAGACAGATATCATCATCTGTGGCTCCTAATATGCGAATCATCATGGGAATCGTAAACATAGAAGAAAAAGAAGTAGAAAAGAAGAAACAAAAAGAAGGAGAAATGAGGGAAGAAAAAGACGAGAGCTAAGGGAAAGAAACCACCACTGTTGCTAATTAAGGACAAAATCATGGGTAGTTCAACTTCTCAAACCTTTGCTGAGTTACAGTTCGGACCCATCTATGCTGCTGTTGAAAACTATGTGAGCGATCCCTCCACTGTTAATGAGGAAGACACAATCCCGAATAGTTTGAACAAATGCACTGCCAAATGGAGTCTCAACTTCAACATTGTTGCTGACAATGAAGGCACCGCCTCGTCACCTTTTCATAGGGATAATCCCACCATATGTCCGTACTGCCACAGCCGAAAGACGACGACTGAATGTCCTTATATATCCTCACTGAAAGATCAAAGGACACCAAGAAGAAGGTATTACTCCGTCTCAAAGGACACCAAGACCAATAACTTCTCCATTGCAAATAGGTCTAGGATTTTTTTCACGGATGATTTGGAACCTATGTTTGATATCATGATAAAAGAAAAAAAAAATTATCTGTCAACGAAAACTTCTCCTTGGTGAGTTTAATGTAAAAACTGGAGTCACATTGTTACTTGAAAATGTTGGACTGTTGCAGACTATTGTTGGAGTTGGTAAGTTTGTTAAAAAAAGTGGTGTGTGATTTTTACACAAATCTAGTGCCAGAATTGGTTAAACAAGGGAAGTGTTTCTACGATGGAGGTTTTATGACTTTAATCCAATTGTGATTAATTCTTTCTTTGGTTCACTGAATATAAATGATGAATACAAAGAGGATTTAGACATCATGGCATATGAACTAACTGGTGGGATCAAGCATTTGTGGACAACAAAAGACACTGTGCATGTTAGTGTTTAAATATTGTAAACCCAAACATGTAATTGACAAATTATTATATGGCAAATTAGATTGGTTAGATTTAGTGTCCAGTTATAGGATTAATCGAAGATTTGATAGAGCAAACACTACATTAGAGACTTTGAAGATTAGCCGTTGGACTGTACCGAAGTATCCGGAAATAACTGGCAGAGCTGTATGATGATTGAGGTTACTTTGCAAGAAAGACCTTACCTATCTTACATACTTCAAAGGGTAAGACATAAATTCTCCTACTTTTCTTTCGAGGATCATAGTATTATATATATGAGAGAGGTCACAAATCAAAGAATGACGGAAGAATATACAAGAAATATTTGAGACACAAGAAACTCTCTCCATACTTTAACAGTTTACTCTGATAGATTATCTTCTCAAAGTCAATATGGTGATCTAAGTTTAAGAAGTCAGTTGAGAAGAAAAGTTCTACAAAGCTGTATCTTGAACCGTATTCCATGCAACTGTGGTTTAGTGGTGAGTGAGTCAGTGAGACGGACAACGACAACGTAGATCTCCAAAGAAGGAATTTCTTGGACTACTGATTGCACAGATCTTTGGCCTCGACAATCCTCAATAGCTTCTACAGATAGGGTTTTTACCGTGTGTGGTACACATTGGGTGAGAATGCGTTCTCCTACCATCTGTTTGATTTGCTAGTGATATAGTGGATTAGACACACTGATGGTGGTCCCCTTTGTTTCCGTCCAGTCACGGAGACGAAGGGGACCCCTGCCAGCCAGGAGACGAAGGGCCCCCTTCGGCTCCAGCTGTATTTTTAATTTTAAAATAATTTATTATTTTAAATTATTAAAATAAAAGTTTTAAAATTATTTTTAATTCTGAAACCGACACAATAGGTAAATAAGTCATTTTTGGTAAAATTGCATTAATTTGCGTAGTTCAGGGACCTAATTGTAATTTTTTTTGAATTTAATGACTTTATTGTATTTTTGTGTGTAGTTGGATGATCTATTTGGCCCTTATTCCTAAGTTATATACGGAGTAGTATTTATCTTTCTCTAAATTCAATGAACTCAAGATACTCTTCATTGAAGAGTATCTGAGTAGCATCATAAGAACTTGAGACTTTGACTTTTTCAGCTATACAAAACACAACGAATTGACTTTTAGTATAACCGAATGTTAAAAAAACCACAGTATTGTAGACTTACTGTTTACATAATGCTTGGCTCTACAAAATTGCAAGAGAACAATGACAGGACCATTAAACTTAGTTTTGAACCATGACTCAACCTTTGAAACGTGCTAGTCCCGCATTGTACACTTCAACTGATCCCCTAAAAAATTAAACAGAAATTGTACTTAAAAATTAATTGAGTAAATACCAGCCAAGGTCTCTTGAGTTAAGTGGTTTCACCACCTATAGTCCCTAACTTTCGTAATTACCATTCGTGGTCCTCCGAGTTGTGAAAACTGACCTGCTGCCATCCTTCGGTTAGTTTCTGTCGTCTAAGCCGTAAAAAATATGGGTAAAAATGTCATTTGCCATATTGATCATTGTACTGCCACATCTAGTGTTGCTCCGGCTAAGCTACGCAGAAAAAGGACATGAAGGGGGAGATGAGATAAGGCAGGAGCAAGCTAAACTATCCAAAACTGTGCTCCATTAGCTTTAAGAACTCACGAAAATCAATGTTCCCATCTTTGTTGTCATCATACGCCATGATCATCTTCCTGCAATCCTCTTGCGAAAGCTTTTTGAGAAACCCATTCACCCATTCTGCAGAGGATCCTCTCCACCTTGTTTTTGTCTATGAACCCATCGTCATTCTCATCAAACACGCCAAAGCCATCGCCATTCACATACTGTGGTGTAGCTATAGAAACAAGGAAATCACTTGCAGCATCCCCGGCCATACCCATCCCATACGAATACATAAACGTGATTGTGTATATTACTAACTAGTCATTGGGTTTGGTGGCCGATGATTTATACGGACAAGCTGAAGGAACCCTTGCAGGTTTTTGATACTCCTTCCCAAATAATCTATAAACCTTTGCCTTAAAAAAAATCACAAAACAAGTAGGCCAGATTGAAACAAAAACCCAACAATTCCAAGCCTTGATCTTGAAAACCCCAAGAATCAATTTTGAAAGCCATATGTAGAAAGATGCGTGTGGAGCTTTTACCATGATGAAATCGAAGAGAAGGGGCAAAAGGTTGACAATTGGAACAAGGAAGAGCGGTAACAAAAATGCCAAGCAAGCCTATTTTTCGTGAAATTGAGAATCAGAGTTGAATCAATAAGTTGAATTTGGAGATGAGGGTTCACTGGAAACACCCACCACCACACCGGAAGCCAATGCTCAGCCTCGACCACCTTTAACCACCGCCGGATCTGCTCGCCTCGCGTCAACTGTTCGCCGGAAAGAAACAAAAGCTCGCCGTTCGTCGTTGCTGCTTCGCCGCTGACCCATCTTACCCGTCGACTAAGAGCGAGAGAGAGAGAGAAAGTGAGATCAACCGCCAAAAATAGAAGGTGTCGACGTCGATCTGCTGGGTTGCCTTCGTGCCCTGCTCGTTGGGAAGAACGGAGGTCGCCGGAGGAGATGAGAGCGTCGCTAGATCCGCTGCTTCCCTTCTTCTGCTCGCCGGACGAGAGAGAAAAGGAGAAGGACGAACTGTGGGTGAGAAGAGAAGAAGAGACAAGGATTGTGGTGTTGTTGGTCTTCTCTGTTGCCGCCATTCTGATGGCTTGTCGAGAAGGAAGGCGTTGCCGACAGCTAGCTGCTCCTCTATGTGAGATAACAAAAAATACATAAAAAAGAATTATATATGACAAATGACATTTTTACCCTTTCTTTTGACGGCTTAGCTAACGGGAGGATAGCAACAGGTCAGTTTTCGCAAATCGAAGGACCACGGATGGTAATTACGGAAATTAGGGACTATAGATGGTGAAACCATTTCAACGGACTTATTTCATTGGGAGAATTCAAAGGGATGGCATGACGTTTTAGAGATGTATTTGAATTTGTAAATTTGGGTGTCTGTGATGTATTTGGTTTGATATGAACTCAACATGTTTTTATAGCTTGAAAGGGAGAATTGTATAGATATGGTATTTAATGCTAAGGTTTCGGATACCAAAGAGACTACACATTCTAATTTGAAAACAACTAATTAATACTAATGTTTCAGATACCAAAGGTAATTGATCAAAATTCAGACATTCGCTATTCTTAGACATCTTAAACGCATCCACTCATTACTGCCGACCAAAATGCAGTCGTTTTTTATGGGCGAGAACTCAACCTATTATTATTATTATTATTATTATTATTTTTTTGAGTTAATACTCAAAATCGTCTTCGACTATAGTGGTTTTTCTCAATTTTGTCCTAAACGACTTTGGTGACTTAATGTAGTCCCAAAGTTTTGTGTTTTTACTCAATTCCGTCCCAGACTTTTGTGTTTTTGCTCAATTTAGTCCCCCATTTGTTATTCCGTCCATTTGTTGTTAAATAAATAGACAATTCAGTAATTTTAATATTGGCATCTCTTTATTCATAGACACGTGAAGTGCGAAATCCCTCTTTTTTTTACGAATTACTCCCAAAATCACTTCTAAAGCTGCGAATATAAAATTTGATTCGTATGTCTGAGAGTAACTCTGTGCGTAATTCGTGTAAGAAAGAGAGATTTCTCACTTCGCAGGTTGAAAGTAAAGAGAGGTCAATATTGATATTATTGAATTGTCCCTTTATTTAACACCAATTTGACGGAATAACAAACATAGGACTAAATTGAGCGAAACACAAAAGTCTGAGACTATATTAGGTCACCAAAGTCGTTTAGGACGAAATTAAGAAAAACCACTATAGTCGAGGACAATTTTGGGTATTAACTCTTATTTTTTTCAAAAGATGTGACTTTATTATAGATATAAGAATATAAGATAAGATGATTATATTAATTGAAATGTTAAAAATATAGTTGACCAACAAATAAAATTAAAGTGAAATTGATCGAAATGATAATGTGTTAAATTAATATTTTAACCAATTTTCACTACTGGAAATTATGGAATTTTCAACCACATGAAAGTAATCTTAAATCAAGTCGAAAGCAAAAAGTGGTCGGAAATAGCAACAAAGCTTTTTCCGGATACCAAAAGTGGTCGTAACAAGGCTTTTGACTTTATTTAAGATCACTTTCAGGTGGTCAGAAATTCCATAATTTCTAGTAGTGTTTAATTTTCTTAAAAAATTAGACATACTGGTGAAAAAAAATCTAAATCTCTATATTTTGTGACAACTATATTTAAATATATAAATTTTGACGCTTTAATTACAATTTTTTGTATACAATTATATTATTTGATATTATAAATAATTCAGTTTTTCCAATTTATGTTTTAACAGGTGGCTAAAATATTTCAAATGATATGTAGAATAAAATATACTTTGAGGGGTTTAATTTAAAAATTTGTAGACCTACAAATAGATGTTTTAGATTTAGAGCATCTCCAAAAGTAAATCTTTTTGGATGCTTTTTTCAATGCCAAATAAGATAGAGAAAGAGAGAGATTTAATACTAGTTGGGGTCCTTCGAGTATATATAATAGCACAGCTATGTCTAGTCCTAAACTTTCAATTTAATCACCCATGATTTTTCAATTTTCAAATGTAACTAGTCGTAGTCCTTTCATTAGTTTAATGAGTTAATACCCAAAATCGTCCTCGACTATAGTGGTTTTTCTCAATTTCGTCCTAAACGACTTTGGTGACCTAATATCGTCCCAGACTTTTGTGTTTCGCTCAATTTAGTCCTCCATTTGTTATTCCGTCAAATTAGTGTTAAATAAAGGGACAATTCAGTAATGTCAATATTGATCTCTCTTTACTTTCAACTTGTGAAGTGCAAAATTCATCTTTCTTGTACGAATTACACCCAGAATTACTCCCGGACCTGCAAATCAAATTTTGTATTCGCAGTTTTAGGAGTAATTCTGGGAGTAATTCGTAAAAAAAAAAAAAGGATTTCGCAGTTCACATGTCTATGAGTAAAGGGATGCCAATATTAAAATTACTGAATTGTCTATTTATTTAACACCAAATGGACAGAATAACAAATGAGGGACTAAATTGAGCAAAAACACAAAAGTCTGGGACTAAATTGAGCGAAACACAAAAGTCTGGGACGATATTAGGTCACCAAAGTCGTTTAGGACGAAATTGAGAAAAACCACTATAGTCGAGGACGATTTTGGGTATTAACTCTTAGTTTAATTAAGGGCAAAGTTAAGAGCAGGGCTGGTTAAAAATTTGAAGGACCATTAGTGGTTAACTTGAAAGTTGAAGGACCATGGATGGTTAAATTTGAAAGTTGAAAGACCACGACTCCACGAGTAGTTAAATTGAAAGTTTAGAACTAAACATGGCGGTGCCACTATACTCAAAGGACCCTAGTTGGTATTAACTCCAATTGATTATTACATTGAAGCCATAATATATGTCAAAACTTTTTTGCATGACTCAAGTATTGTAAACAATTATTTCATCATTTCATTACACAAAACAATTACATTAGGTAATCACTGATGCACATATTAGGTAATCACTGATGTACATAACTTTGTAAGAAGGTCTCTAGCTGTCTAGTTAACTAGTTTACATTAGGTATTGCATCCAACACTTGTTCTTTGCATCTGATTTTGTGATTCTTCCCTGAAGGTCTCTAGGTGTATAGTTGCTTTATCCTCCAGTATGTCTGCTATAAGTGGTTCTGATGAGTTTTCATTTTACCAAAGGGAAATGAAAGTTTTCCAAAAAATAGTCAAGTTAAACCACATACTTTGTAAATATATTACAAAGTTACTCCCTTCCTAATATTCTTCATGAATCTGACTAGTTCATGTGAATATGAATCCTGAATTGGTTCTGCAAAAAGGTTTTTGAATTGAAATAACCCAAATATAGAAATGTAGATTAATTCATAATAATTCATAATGTAGATTTCAGATGAGGCTTTTCTTTCCATCACTACATACGTGCGTATAACTCTGACTTTGATTGCGCTTTTGGTTTTGAAGGTTGACAAATCACGTCCCAGTATGAATAGACCCATGTGATGGAGAGAAGACAGAAACGTATCAGTAAGATCACGTCCCAGTGTGAATAGACCCATGATGGAGAGAAGACAAAAGCGTATCAGTACCCTAGTAGTATTGCTCGAGTGTTTGTATTCGATAGTTGTGATGTATATGTAGACTGTAATTTGTCCAACTGAAGAGTTGGGTACTGATACGCTTGCCTTGAGCTTTTAATGCTATTGACGGCCATATAGTTTCGATGCATCGGTTTAGATGCATCGCTTCCAATGTATAAGATATTTGGACGACATATATTTTTAAATTGTTTCGTTCAAATTAACACTACCGTAAACATTCTTAGAACTTCGGGATTCTCCTTAAAAATTGGACAGCGGAATAAATTTTTTTAGGAGCCCAATGGTATAAGAAATTTGATGTACGCATTTGATATCTATTATCTAAACGACGCCGTTAGTTTAGGCAAGAATTTGTTTGCCTTTATGCATTTACTTCTAATTGCTATTTTATAATAGAGATTAGAAGCCAAGTATGTTGTGGTTTGATGGCATTGTTGTGACACTTTCAAACAAAAGGTTACAGGTTCAGGCAAATTGTTCTGTGAACCCAAGTTCAAAAATACACAACTTACATATTGATAGGGCGTTTCGTTAGAAGGAGAGAATTAGGGAGAAATGAATTGTAATTCTATGAAAAAAGAATACACTAAGAATTTAAATTACATTGTTTGGTAGGGAGGAATAGAATGATGGGGAATTGAAAGGGAAAAAATGAATAATGACTAAAATGTCCTTCTATAATAATAATATAATAATCATAAGAGGATAAAAACACTTTGAATTATATTTACCAAAAAAATTTTGAAATAATTTTTATATATAAATTTTTTTTATATATATAAATGGTATATTATTATAGGTAAAATAATGTATATAATTAATATAATAGGATATGTATATTAATACTTTTTACATAATAATAATAATAATAATAATAATATAATAATAATAATAATAATAATAATAATAATAATAATAATAATATTATTATTATTATTATTATTATTAAATAATAAAAATAATAATAAAATTATGTCGCTTATTTTTTAATATCTTAAAATAAAAGTAAGTGAGTATAATTTAGAATTACATGTAGTAACATTCAGATAATTAATAATATCCCGTTATTTGATGTAAATATTGTTGCTTTCATCGACTTTAAATGGTGAAAATGAGATGGAATAATAGTACAACTAACAGCTAATTGAGCATTTAAATCGCCGTAGTGTACCATTTCGCCAACTAATAAATATGCCTTGATAAAGATGTACTGAAACGACGCGATTGCTACCTGCTAGCTTCTTCCATCTCCACCCTAAGGCTATCCTTATTCCTTCAAATCTCTCTCACTCGAAAAAAATGAATCTCACTTCCACATTATCCAATTTGCAAATCATTTTCTATTTACATTACATCTTTGCAAATTCAATATGTTTTTAAAAGTGGAGTCTTTAGTTTATTCAAAATTGGGCAAATTATTATATGGACCATGGTCCATATAATGCTGTATGGACCATAATAAAAAGTACATTTTTAATATATTAAATGTACATTATTTTTGTACTGAATGTACATTATACAATATAATGTATACTCAGTACACAAATAATGTACATCTCCTGAATACAATGTACATTATTTTTGTACTGATGTAAATTATTTTTGTACTGAATGTACATTATTTTACAGTATACAAAATATGGTCCCTACAACTTGTTTGGACCATGGTCCACACAATAATGATTGTCAAAATTGATCATGGGTCATTTTGGTTTGTAAGGCTCAAAATAATTTTGTAAGATATATAAGTAAGACTCATAATGCTCAGTTAATTTTGACGTGAGCCTTGAGAATATTTGGGAAGTTGTAATGTATGTTTAAGTTTTCAAATTAAACACTCATAATGTTCCTTTCATTTTGTGACTAAGCTATCTTTTGGTTATTTTGATAAGTGGGAGTGACAAACTTGTCAACTCCAAGCTCTTAGCCAATGGAGATAGTGTTAAAGTTATAAAGTAGTCATAGAATATACTTGACATTATGCTTACATTAAGAGATTCCTACTTAAGACATGCTTTTAAAGATTTTAGGGATCATACAGTGTGCATATTTTTTTATGCAAATTTGGATGGTTTCTTTTTCAGTTGCACATATACTTTTTTTTTTTTTTTTTTTTTTTTTAGAAACATCCATTAGGGGACTAAAAATAAACGTAGCGTTTGTTCATAAAGAACCTAAGTTAGGGAATCTACATGAATATGATCATAGAAGATATTATTCACTTGATCAGTAGAGGACATATTACTATGGTTCATGTGTTTGGTTTTTTAATGGAGATTGTAGTACTTGCACCAAGTGGGAGAATATCAATATTTTTCCTAATATAATATATTATAATATATTGTATTAATTAAGTGGTTGTGGTGCAAATAGATGATTAAGTCAGTTAGTGATTTAGTCAGTTAGGTAACTTAGGATATTCAGTTTAGCGTTAACTGAATATCTGCCTATATTGATGACATATAGGCTTCTAAGCAAAATAGTCCTCTCACAGCTCCTGTTTTCAGCATACACACACCATCAAATATTCAGGAGAGAAGTGGTAGACAAAATGATAACACTATTCTGCATGTTTACCATCCTAGCGACAATACCAACAACTTTGGCGAGAGACATTTGGGTAATCCTAAAGCTTTCGATATAACGAGGTCAGGTTCCTCGTTAATCTAGTTTATGTTAGTTAATATTAATATCTAACACATTCAATAAGAACAGACGCCAGTGTTCCAACAATTATTATAAAGAGTGTTATTGATGAAGGAGCTGTCTGTTTGGATGGCATCCCACCAGCATATAATTGGGATGCATGGAAAGATGAAGGTGCACGCAATTGGCTACATCACCTTAAAGGAGCTAGGCAGGTGGTCCTTGAATAGTACTCTATACCAGACATCCGATCATAACATTCAAAGTTGTGCAAGGCGCTTGTATGGTTCCGCGGGTTCTTCTCGACACATACCGGCCACTGATAACTTAACAGGCATGTTAAGTGGTGACCCCAAAATAAGTGCTCTTTACAACTGGAATCGAGTCTTCTTTCGATTTTGTGATGGAGGATCATTCGCTGGAGATGTTGAACAACCAGATCATGTTACTAAACATTACTACAAGGGTGTAAGGATTTTCAATGCGGTTGTGAAGGATTTGTGGGCCAAAGGAATGAAAAATGCTCAAAATGTATTTCTTTCTGGCGGCTCAGCAAGAGAGTTGGGTTCAAGCATACACTATGATCGCTTTCGAGCTCTATTTTCGAAGAATGTTAGAGTGAAATGTCATGTCGATGGTGCACTCTTCATTCGTGTCAAAAATCCCGAGCAAGCAAAATTCTTTGCTACTGTTTTTTACAGTGTAGTTGACCTACATAAACCTGACAAGGCATTACCTGTTGAGTGCAGTTCAAAACGGAGTCCATTTGAGTGATTCTTCCCAAAATCTTTGGTGCAATATGTGAAATCTCCGATTTATTTCCTCAATTCGGCATTTGATGCATTTCAAATAAGAAATACATTTTCGTTACATTTGCGCCAAACCATTATGAATCACACCGTTAGTAAAGGTGATGTGCGTATGTTAAGAAATTTCACTCGACAATTGATTAGTGTATTGCCCCCACTAAGTAGTGACAAAGGATTTGTAATTACTTCTCTCTTCGCACATACCTTCACTCCATAGGGCTTGAAGAAAATAATGTTCGTCGATGAGAAATCTGAGACATTTGAGAGGGCACTTATAGATTGGTTCTTCGACAAACGTTCAGGGAACAAGACAGACCCAACAGAGGTACTTGTATATATTTCTCTATCTACAATTTAGCGTTGCACATATACTAGCATCTCTGTTGGGTCTATCTTGTTCACTGAACGTTTGTCGAAAAACCAATCCATAAGTGCCCTCTCCAATGTCTCGAATTTCTCATCGACGAACATGGGTTTCTTCAAGCTCTGTGGAGTAAAGATATGTGCGAAGAGAGAAGTAATTACAAATCTTTTTTTAACTACTTGATGGGGTCAATACACTAATCAGTTGTCGTCTGGAATCTTTTAACATATGCACATCACCTTTACTAACGGTGCTATTCGTAATAGTTTCGCGCAAATGTTTCGAAAATGTATTTTTTATCTAAAATTCATCAAATGCCGAATTGAGGAAGTAAATCGGAGATTTCAAATATTGCACCAAAGATTTTGGGAAGAAACACTCAAATAGACTCCGTTTTGAAGTGAACTCAGCAGGAAATGCCTTGTTATGTTTATGAAGGTCAAATACACTCCGAAAAACAATAGCAAAGAATTTTGCTTGCTGGGGATTTTTCAGACGAATGAAGAGAGCACCATCAACATGACATTTCACTTTAACATTCTTAGAAAATTGAGCTCGAAAGCGATCACAGTGTATGATTGAACGCAACCCTCCTATTGAGCCGCCGGAAAGAAGTACGTTTTGAGCATTTTTCATTCCTCTTGCCCACAAATCCTTCACAAGTGCATTGAAAATCCTGGCACCCCTGTAGTAATGTTTAGTAACATGATTTGGTTGTTCAGCACCTCCGACGAATGATCCTCCATCACAAAATCGAATGAAAACTCGATTCCAGTTGTAGATAGCACTTATTTTGGGGTCACCACTTAACATGCCTGTTAAGTTCTCGGTGGCCGGCATGTGTAGAAAAGAACCCAGGGAATCATACACGCGGCTTGCACAACTTTGAATGTTATGATCAGATGTCTGGTAAAGAGTACTATTCAAGCACCACCCGCCTCCTTGAAGGTGAAGTAGCCAATTGCGTGCACCTTCACCTTTCCCATCATCCCAATTATATGCTGCTGGCTACCATTCAAACACACAGTTCCTTCACCAACAACACTCTTTATAATAAATGTTGGAACACTGCGTCTATTCCTATTAAATGTGTTAGATATTAATATGAAAACTAACAAAAACTAGAATAACGAGGAACTTGACCTTGTTATAGAGGAAGCTTTAGGATTACACAAATATCTCTCGCCATAGTTGTTGATATTGCCGCTGGGATGGTAAACTTGCAGAATAGTGTTAGCGTTTTGTCTACCACTTCACCACCGAATACCAGATGGTGTGTGTATGCTGAAAATGAGAGTTGTGGGGTGACTATTTTGCTTAGAAGCCTACATGTCATCAATATAGGCAGATATTCAGTTAAAGATAAACTGAATATCCTAAGTTATCTATCTAACTAAATCACTAACTGACTTAATCATCTACTTGCACCACAACGATATTAGGGAAAACACTTAAATTCTCCCACTTGGTGCAAGTACTAGCACAACCTCCATTCAAGAACAAAACACATGAACCATAGTAATATGTCATCTACTGATCAAGTGAGTAATATCTTCTATGATCACATGCATTTAGATTCCTTAACATAGGTTCTTTACGAACAAATGATGTGAGTCTAATTGTGCACATTTCTAGTAGTAGTTTGATTATATTTGATAGGTTTGAATTCATGCTTTTGGTAATTTAATTGCAAAATCCTTTATTTTATTATTTAATTATGATTCGCACTTGTTTCGAATGTTTTACGGTGTTTGTTAGTGTTTTTGAATCATTGTAGGTCAATTCTATGAGCAAGGGAAGTTCTAGAATAAATTTAAAATTAAAGTGGATCGAAGGACGTGTATACAGCAAATTCGACGCGTTCAAAAAATCCAATGAGCATTTCGGCCGAAGAACAGCGAAGCTCGACGCGTCGAAGTCGCGGTGTGCGAAACAATAAAGAATGGCACGGTGCTGAATTACAAAAGGAAAAGGGACGCTGACTTGCAACAAATTAGAAAGGGCGTTGTTTCCAAAGCAAAAGAAAAGCTTCATTCTCCAAATTATAAAGGGCACAGTTTCCAATTAAGGGTCCGTTTGGAAAGCAGGAAAATGACTTCTGGAAAATGTTTTCTGGAAAATGAGTCATTTTCCGGAAAATATTTTCCTTTCCAGTGTTTGGTTGCATTATGGAAAACTGTTTTTCTGTGTTTGGTTCATTTTCTGGAAAATGAGTAGAATTGTATAATTAAACATTTTAATTATTTTATTTAGAATATTACAACATGTATAATAATATAATATTAATTTTAAATATAATAAAAAATAGCTAAGGTTTTCAAAAAAAAAAATAAAATAATATATCAAAAATATTATGGTGGTGGTGGTGGTGGTGGTGTAGTGGTAGTGGTGTTATTCGTTATATAATAATAATAATAATAATAATAATAATAATAATAATAATAATAATAATAATAATAATAATAATAATAATAATAATAATAATTGGTGGTGGTATGACGGTGGTGGTGTGGTGGCGGTGGTATGGTGGTGGTAGCGACGGTGGTGGTTGCGGTTGTATGGTCGTGGAGGTGGCTGCGGCGGCGGTGTGATGGTGGTGGCAGCGGCGACGGTGGTTGCGGTAGTATGCTGGTGGTGGCGGCGACGGCGGTAGTGGTGTTTGTGTGATGGTGGTGGTAGTATGACGGTGGTGGCAGTGGTCGTGTGGTTGCGGTGGTGGTGGCGGCGACGGTGGTTGCGGTGGTATGGTGGTGGTGGTGGCGGTGGCGGTGTGATGGCGGTGGTGTGGTGGTGGTGGTGGCGGCGGTGGTATGGTGGTGATGGCGGTGGCGGTGGTATAGTGGTAGTGGTGGCGGCGATGGTGGTTGTGGTGGTATGGTGGTGGTGGCGGTGGTAGCGGCGACAGTGGTTGTAGTGGTATGGTGGTGGTGGTGGTGGTGGCGGCGGCGGTGGTTGCGGTGGTATGGTGGTAGTGGTGGCGGAGACGGTGGTTGCGGTGGTATGGTGGTGGTGGTGGCGGCGGCGGTGGTGTGAAGGTGGTGGTGTGGTGGCGGTGGTATGGTGGTGGTGGTGGTGGTGGTAGTGGTTGCGGTGTTGGTGGTGGTTGTGGTGGTGGTGTGATGGTAGCGGGGGTATAGTGGTGGTGGCGGCGGCAATAGTGGTGATGATGGTGGTATGGTGTTGATGATGTTGGTGGTGGTGTGATGTTGGTGTAAAAGTTGGAAAATGACTTCCCCCCAAAAAAAGGGGAAGTCATTTTCCTCCAAAACAAACCTATTTTCCAAAGTCAACAGAAAATGATTTCCGTTGACTTGATTTTCCAGGCACATCCAAAAACTGGAAACTTGGAAAATGATTTCCAGAACTCATTTTCCAGGTTTCCAAACACACCCTAAATCAAAGGGGCGGCATTCTCGAATATTAACGGGCTGTTTGGTTGGAGGTAGTTTAGGTGTAGTTGAATTGCAATTCTATGGAGACCATAATTATGCCGTTTGGTTGGAGGGAATTGGAATTCCCTCCAAATGCTGAATTACAATTCCAAACTCCCCCCTAAGAATTGTAATTCAGTGTTGAATTGGAGGTTGGAAAGACATTTTTGTCCCTGACATCTATTATTATTATTATTATTATTATTATTATTATTATTATTATTATTATTATTATTATTATTACATGAGGGCATTTCAGTCATTGTATCACTTATTCCCTTTCAATTCCCTGTAATCTTATTTTGCATACCAAACACTGTAATTTGAGTTCCTACTTTATTCCTACCTTATTCTTTTCCCACCGAATTACAATTTCTTTCCACCCTAATTCCTTCCTTCCAACCAAACGGCATGTAAAAGTTAGCTTTCCAAAAGAAAATAGGAGAGTTCCAATTTGGGCCCGAGATGCAATTTCAGTCCAATTTCGCACAGAATTCATATTTCTACCGGGATTGGTTCTAGGCTTCTATCTATAAAATCTCACCTTCCTCAACCCTAATTTTCATTTATAGATCTTTGGAGACAAGAAAGAGAGAAATCAAGAGCCACAAGTTATCTTGGGAAGTAAGAAGAAGACTAGGGAGATTTGGAAGAATCGTCTGGTTCATTCTTGTACTCTTTTGATAATTTGTATTTCCTTTATTAATATTTGCTATGTATAATTTAGCCATGCTTGGCTAAATTCCATTAGAGATTCTTGGGTAAAAAGTGTTTATGAACCTATGTGCCTGTGCTCTCAGATCCTTTAATATATTATTATTTGGGTTATAACTTGTGTTGTAATTGTGATTATATTGTTTGATGCTTGTAATTAGTGGCCATAGTTACTTGTTTTGTTTGCTATCTTTGTGTCACAACGGGAGTTGGGCATAATTTAGGGCACACACAATTGCACATAACTGTTGCACCTTGGGAAAGGATAGTTTTGTTAGGGAGTTTAATTTTTGATTATTGCACATCGGGAGATGGTAGTAGTTTGGAATTTGTTATGATGCATGATTCTGTTTTATTGGGTGTTTATATCACGGGAGTGGATATTTACTAGTGTTAGGGACAACGGGATTAGCTCTATACCACCTAGCATCCTCACACTTGTTAAACCCAGATTTAATATTACATTAGGTTAGGCACGGGGGATTAAACACTTGAATCCCAGGAATCTCAATCTCTCTCTATTGTTTTCATTACCCTGAATCATTGCTTTATTTTATTTATTTACTGCAATCATCCAAGTCAATCGTTAGGATTAACTTTATAGAATAAATTAGTAATTGGTGCTTAATACTCCACTTCCCTGTGGATCGATAACCTGATACTCCAGCTATTTATTTGGTTCGAAATATATTACAATCAACAAACCCTACGTTTATTCTTAGTCTCTTAATAGATGTTTCTAAAAAAGAAAAAAGTATATGCACAACTTAAAAAGAAACCATCCAAATTTGCATAAGAAAATACGCACATTGTATGTTCTCTAAAATCTTTAATATCATAACTTAAGTAGGAAACTCTCAATGTAAGCATAATGCCAAGTATATTCTATGACTACTTTATAACTTTTACACTATCTCTAATGGCTAAGAGCTTGGAGTTACACTTCTTTCACTCCCACTCATCAAATTAATAACCAAAAGATAGCTTAGTCACAGAATGAACGGAACATATATGAATATTAAATTTGAAAACTTAAACATACACTACAACTTCCCATAAGGTCCACTTCAAAATTAACTAAACATTATGAGTCTTACACCACATATCTTTGCAATTGTTTTGAGCCTTACAAACCAAAATGGCCCAAGATCAATTTTCAAGAAACTAAAGACTCTTTTAATTGCTAAGAAATTTATTAATTGACAGTGCACCACAAGTCAAATGTTTTTGTTCTAATAACCTCTTTAGTACTGTTACAACATTTTCATAAATACGTTGCACAACCAAATGTTCAATAAATTTGAACTTATGAATTTATAAGAACAAAACTTAGATTAATACTTGTATGAACTTTTGGACTTATTGTTAGATGTACAATCCAATTTGGAATATATGAAGACAATTAAATCCATTAGCTTTAGTAAAGTATTTTAATGACTTTTTTTCTAAATGATCACTCCCATTGATTAAGATATTCTTTAGCCAAATTATACACACTCATAATTGATTTGACCAACTAAATAATGAAGATATATAATTCCCACTATTAGTTGGGCATACTAAAAATCAATATTTGGATACAATAATAGTCCAACTAAAGGAATAATTAATGAAAACATAATTTCTCATCATAGTTGGACATACTAAAATAATAAAATACATCTTCCAAAACCAATTTGGAATCGGGCTCAAAAG